TGCGTAGGTGTTTGTTTGTTCGTGTGTGTGTGTTCGTGTGTGTGTGTGTGTGTGTGTGTGGTGTGTGTTTGTGTGTGTGTACGTGTATGATTACAGTTTTCTAAGAACATTTTTGTTTTTCTATTAATTTATGACTTGAATTCACGCTACGTTATACCATCAGCTTCCACTGTATGTTTGTCTGTTTGTTTGTATGTGTGTGTGTGTATGTGTGTGTTTGAAGGTTGTTTGTGTGTATATATGTTTGTATGTGTGTTTGTTTGTTTGTGTGAGCGTGTGAGCGCGCGCGTGTGTGGATATGTGTTGCAAAGATGATTGCAACTTCGCTAATCTGGCTTAGGTCATTATCCCTGCTGTCTGTTACTCCTAGCTTTAAACCGTCAATTTTTCCCTATATTTAGTTTGTTCAATTGCTTTTACAGGCCACAAAAACGCAGTAGTAGTGGTAGCAGCAGCAGTAGTAGTAGTACCAATAGTAGTAGTAGAAGTAGCGGCAGCGGTAGTAGAAGTATTAGTAAACTTTATTCATGTTTCAGTCAAGAACCCTCCAGAAGTTTAACTCAAAAAATAAACAGAGTGATGGAGCAGTCTTGCATTTCTTAATCTTGGATCAGTTTGTGTATTCGAACACTGCCATACAGCCCAGTGTGTGTGTGTGTGTGTGTTTGTGTGTGTGTTTGTGTGTGTGTTTGTGTGTGTGTGTTTGTGTGTGTGTGTTTGTGTGTGTGTGTCTATTTCATCTAAATTTGTGCCTAATTAATCAAATTTTTTGAAGTATATGATTTTGCTTTATTGAATTAATAATGAATATAACGAAATAAAAAATTAAACAACAACATCAATAACAACAACAACAACAACAACATGACCAACAACAACAACAATAACATATAACATCAATGATAGCATCAATAATTAATAATAATAGCAATAATTAATAATAATAATAATAATTATAATAATTATAAAAATAATAAAAATGATTAAAAAATATAATAATAATATGAAATAGTTTAATTTTGAAAAAAAAACATATAATAATAACCTGTTGTTGTTGTTAATATTGGTAATAATTAAAGTTAATAATATTAATATTATTATTGTTTATTTATTTATAATAATATTCATAATAACAACATTATTATTTAAAGATAAGTTTGACAACGAAAAGATGTAAATATGATGATAATTTTGACTTATATATCTATATATGTATATATATATATACGTATATATATATATATATATATATATCTTTATTTATATTTATCTTTAATTATTTATATATACATACATACATACATACATACATACATACATACATACATACATACATACATACATACATACATACATACATACATACATACATACATACATACATACATACAAACAAACTATTACACACACGTGTATACAACAAAACATCATCGAACGAAACAAAGATAGATAGGGAAATATGGAAATAAACGAATGAGAGAGAATGTTTTGTTGGCCGGTTCAATGTCTAGTTCACAAACTCTTCATCGTTATGCTCTCACAGAGTAAATTTTATCTATTTATTAACGGAGTGAGTGAATGGATGAATGAATGAATGAATGAATGAATGTATGGATGGATGGATGTATGGAGGTTATCGAGGAATGCATGGATGAATGGATGGATGGATGAATGGATGGATGAATGGATGGATGAATGGATGGATGAATGGATGGATGGATGAATGGATGGATGAATGGGTGGATGAATGGTTGGATGAATGGATGAATGGATGGAGGGAGAAATGATACAATGATGGTTAAGATGCTGCTGACGACAGTAAAAATATTGATGATGATGACGATTGTGAAGAAGATGATGATGATGACGCCTGGAATGGTGGCTC